GCTTAATTCAGTACAGTTCCTTTTATTTATTTATATATATATTTTTTCTTATCAATGCAATCAAAATTCTTACAAAAAAAAAAAAAACATTCTGAATAAGCGATTCAGTCATGAATCGATCTGCTTCACTCATCCGGTAACAGCGGTTCTTAATTTAACAGCTCGTGGAGAGGAAGATTTTAAGTTAAAGATCACATGCATTTCTTCCTGGGCCTCAGAAGAAAGTTCATGTACCAGGTAGCATATTTCTATGGTGTTTGAGATAGTTATAGTGTCTAGATTATCTTGAAGTAACATATTTAACGTAGTTGGAATGTGATGCTTTGGAATAATAGGGACACTGACTGATCAAATTTGTCAGACCTCTGAGACGTAAATATGATTATTAATCATCTTGTTTTTGTGCATGATGTCATATTTGTTGTTCAGCTATCCAAAGTAAGTGGTTATTGCGGAGAGATTTTAGGGAATTTATGTAGGAGGGAATTTTACTAAACAGAGGTTTCATTATAAGTGACAGCCATCGTAGCAGTCGCTCATAGTTGCAACATTAAGGACTGAAAGAGAATAATCTCACATTTTTATGCAAAGATAATACCGTTTCAGTATAAGCGTGGGATTTCATGAAATATATGAAAGCCTATCTGTATTTAAAAAAAAACATCAGGGTGCCTATCAGACAGGAATCATGCAAGTCCTTTCATGAAAGAATACACAAGCATCCAATTACGTGGACTGTTGCGTTCAAATTGACTGTACCTGGAACGGCGTCATTTTGTATCTTATTACTAAAATATAGGCTATAATAGATAACTAAATGCATCGTGCTGGCCTCCTACGCGTCACCTTAAAAAGGATGCAAGCAAATTGTTGATCAGATTCTTTCCGAAGCTCTGGTTAACTCTAAACGTCAATTATACCTAAGTTGAAGTTAACGCAGTTTGAGTTGAATTACTGAAATAAATGAACTTTTCCACGACATTCTAATTTATTGAGATGCACCTGTATGTAAAGGGTAAAAGCGCGGTTAAAGCAGCGCTGTTTTATCATACTAGATACATTTGAAAGTTCTGTTATAATGCTACTCTGTGCGCGGTCGTCACCTGTCTTAATAAAACGCATAATATTAAAGCGTCTTTGGTGTTTCCATGTTCTACAAAACAAAACCGGAAATCGAGGGGTTATGACGTCATTGGCAGGCGACACAATGACACTGGACACGGTCCGTGTCACTAGTTAAAATTGCTTATTTCTCTGGATTTAAACATTTGGGATAATGTAAGTACACAAGTCAGCAAAATATATAACACTGTTCTAGTGGTTTTTGGATATTTTAATAAAAAAAATCTTACATATTGTGCCTTTAAAGTTCAAAGAGGGAAGGACACCTGCGCAAGTAATCTGTGTGACTCAAACCATTTAATGAGAAGTTATTAACTGAGTTAGCCATGTTGCAAAAATGTGTGGCATTCAAACAACTGTCATGGTATTCAAATTATTTCCTCAAAAGATAAACATTAACCATGCAAGAAGTGTGCTGCAAAATGCCTTTGTGGCAGTGTTGCTGGCTTCTTGTCTATGCCCTTATAATAAAAATAATTATTCCAAAGAGGGGGCTTTCACATCGATGGCACTGAAGAACCATTCAAGAAAAGGTTCTTAAAAAGAACCAATTTTGTCTTGGTGTGAAGAACATTTTTATGATCTGAAGAAACTTTTTCTGCTATAAAGAACAGGAAAATGTTCCTTGGATGTTAAAGCTTCTTCATAAAACCACAGATGCTGATGAAAAACCTTTTTTGTGAAGAGTGTGCTTTAACAAATGTTTAAAAGCATTCTCGCTCAGCCACAAAAAAACACTAGGGTGGGAAAAAATTGAATGGAACCAAATGATTATGTAGTGTTAAATTTAATAGCTGATCAGGCATTTTAAGATTTTAAAAGGTTATTCAAGACTCACATGGTTAGGTAAACATCAAGATAAATAACATTAATAAGTACATAATATTTATCAATCACATTTATTCATTTTTAGTGTTCCAACTGATTCCATGAATCATGCAGTTTGCACTTTTTTAAATGGTTAAAATACATTCACTAAATATGTTTTATATATTTAGCATTATACATTTAAAAATGTACAATGGTAAAATAATCGCAGATTACCATAAATATATACAATATAAATATATATTTAGGAACTTATTTCACAAGTAATAAGCAAGCAAATGTAAAATACTTAAAAATAGCTTAAAGCTGTACAAAAATACTCAAAAACCCATCGAAATGACCTTATGCACAAAAACTAATATTTTTTATGTTATTTCGTCTTGTTCTAAATGTAAATGTAGAATTGTATTCTATTTCTACATCAGCATTTTTGATCCTGTCGTGTCTACGTAATGCCTGAACGTCTGACCGTATCATTGTTTTCACATGCAGAACATTATTGAAATGTTTTCCAGGGTGCTATTTATAGCTCTGAATGACATCTAAATTTAGCACTTTGCTCATTTTAGACTTCTGCATAAGCAAAATACATACAATAGCTGGAAAAGAGGGGGAACTATTTTGAGCCCATGCAGATGCAAAATTGTTCACATTTTACTTTTTTCACAATTAAAAACATCTAAAGGACACATCCAAAATTAGCCAGTGCTATTTTTAACCCTTACTACAGTGAGGGTTAAAAATAGCACAGGCTAATTTTCATTTATTTCTGCACATTTTACCCCAACTGGAGAAAAATTATATCCATCCATTTAGTAACAGAAAGCTATCGTGTTTGCTTCATCAGCACCATCACTTCAGTCCTCTACTTTCTCTTCTTCTCTTTCAGATTCATTCATGCAACACTGTATATAATTTGCTTCATTCACTCACATGTAATTAATGTTACTTTCACTGATGAATTGAATCTGTATTTGAATAATTCTAGAAGTTAGCATGACAACCGATCTCTTGCACAAAGCAGTAGAACTGCAATGAAGAAAATGAACCACATAAAGCTTCTCATCAAGGCAAATATCTCAATGTAAGACTAGAACCGCTTTAAACTAGGCATATTTTGAGTCGATCAGAGTGAAAAGGATTAAAAGCACAAGTGACACTTGAAATCGGAGCTTGAAACTCCTTTCAAACTGTTGTTAAGTTTGTTAATCCAGGTTAAATAATAAAAAAGGTATACCAATAGAAGTGTTTGTTCCTTAAAGGGACAGTTCACCCAAAAATATGAGTAAATTAGGGTCCAAGACACCACTAGACCCCATTTGTCATTGTATGGACAAAAAACACTGAGATATTTTTCAAAATATCTTCTTTTATGTTTCACACAAGACAAATTCCTTTAATGATCTTGACCAGATGAATATACAAGTAAATGTTTTATAAGCATAATCAAGTCAGCACATTTGATCATTTCTTTATGTTTCAGTAGTGACACATTCAACGGATGTCTCTTAATTGCTGAGATCAAATATTAACTGAAGTATATTTTGTGACCCTGGAGCACAAAACCAGTCATAAGTCACACAGGTATATTTGTAGCAATAGCCAAAACTACATTGTATGGGTCAAAATTATTGATTTTTCTTTTATGACAAAAATCATTAGGATATTAAGTAAAGATCATGTTCCATGAAGATATTTAGTAAATTTCCTACTGTAAATATATCAAAGCTTAATTTTTTTTTTAGTAATATGCATTGCTAAGAACTTCATTTGGACAACTTTAAAGGTGATTTTCTCAGTATGTTGATTTTTATTTTTTTTTCCAGATTTTCAAATAGTTGTATCTCAGCCAATAGTCCTATCCTAACAAACCATACATCAATGGAAAGCTTATTTATTCAGCTTTCAGATTGTGTAAATCTCAATTTCGAAAAATTGACCCTTATGACTGGCTTTGTGGTTTATGGAAAACAGGTGAGACAACTATAAATGCTTACGTTGTTGGAGTTAATAAGTACAAAGTGTTGAGTAACTATGTGGGTTTAGGCCAATGAGATGAGTCATAACAGTTATATCTCTGTTACTGTACATAAATTTGTGTAAAAATTAACCAAAATGAATCTCTATCATCAGTTGCATCTTAAAAAATTGGATTTGTTCTTCAACATGCAGTATGATACTTTGTTGACAAAAATGACTGACCTTCAGACATTACTGTCGCACAAGTGTGCAACATGATTATGATGATTTCCTGAGTATTCATGTATAATTTATGTAATATGTGGTTCTACCACACATACTTAAGTTTGCATAGACCAGGGCTGGGCAAACTTGGCCCTTCCAGGTCACTTTCCTTCAGAGTTTAGCTCCAACTCTAATCAAACACACCTGAACCAGCTAATCATTGTCGTCAAGACTACTAGAAAGCTACAGGCAGGTGAGTTTTATCAGGGTTGGATCAAATCTCTGCAGGAAAGTGGCCTGGAAGGGCCAAGTTTGCCCATCACTGGCATAGACGATAAAACAATATTGATGTATTGACAGCATCTAAAACATAAATACATATGACTTTTACAGACGTACAGATGTTTGCAAATCCTTTTTAATCTATAAATATTTAATTAATGGATTCTTGAATGCATGAATCAGTCGCTTGATTGATTGTATTTATAATGTAGTTATAATCACAGGCATGCATTACAAAATATTCCTAAAGGCCTGTCTAAAAAGACCAGATTTGAATAAAATGTTTAAAAAGTTTTAAATTAATTTGTAAATTAGTGTTTAAATTAGTATTATCAAGCACATGAATAATATTTGACCCTTCCCTGGTTTAACATCAGACACATTAATCATGTGTTTATGGAAGCAGGAAGTAGCAAGATAATGTTTAACTGTCTCACACACCTGCTCCGAGCGCAGATATCAAGTTCACATCTGAAGAATTTCAATGGGGAGTGAACATAAATTCCTAAGGGGGGCGTGAAATCCCAAATTAAGGTTTTAAATTGAGTGCTCATCAGTGAAGTTCAGCCAAAGCTCTTCAGAACTTTCTCTGTGTGGATTACCACTCACTTAACAACACTTAAACACTTTTTGAGATACTGGAGATGGCTTACCTTAAAACCTGCTCTTTGAGTGTCCTCATACTCATCGCCTTTCTCGTGGAGACCGGTGCAGGTGAGTGAATGTGAACTTGTGAATAGATTGTTTAAAACACCTTTCTGCTGAATATGTTATTGATCCACCAGCATGCTGTTATTTGGACGTGCTGTAAAAATGTGTTGAGCAATTGCTTTAAAATGCAATTTTTATGATATAATACAATGATTGCATGGAATAGTACTTTCACTTTAAAAATGAAGATTGTGTTTCGTGCTCGAGGGCACAGATTATGATGAAAGATGGATCTCGTTACCCGTTCAGTTGGGCCTGTCCTAGCTGAACTGATACTGGAAATCTTTGTATTAGCAGTCCGATAAACCAGTGCATGTAAAAGTCCTTCTGATCCAGTTACTGTTACAGTAGATACAATACAGTTTACTATTGTTTTTATTTTAGACACCAGTGGAAAGTCTGACATGGCCTGTAAACATGTGAACATAATAACTCTTTCCTTCCTGTTTCACAGTGCGTTGCTGTCTCAGATACAGGAGACGGCCTCTAGACTGTCGATATCTGAAAGGCTTCGATATCCAGAAAATGACTGGCAGCTGTGATCTTGCAGCGATCATGTAAGACATATTTTTGCATACATGTTTGATGTACTTCATGTAAATTAGAAATTGTAGACATGGCGACTATCTATCTATCTATCTATCTATA